GTCTGTTACAAAGAGTAAATAAAAATGTTTTCCTCGTGCTCCTCTCCCCCTCCTCCCCCTCCTCCCTCCATTGTCCCTCTACCAGGGAAAAAGAGAAAAGGCTCGTTCACAACAATGAGCACTTCCTCCTGCGAGGCGGCGCGCTCCGCAACAGAGTCAACGCAGAGCATGTGATGTGATGAGCTATTGTACGCCACTGAGCTGCGGCCTTCCTGCGTTAGCCTGCTTCCTACAGCTGAAGTCATTGTGAGAGCCACGTCTCTGTCTGTGGGGAGGAAACACACGGTACAATACACACATGTACACACACACATATGCATGTTTCTCACACACATGCTTACACACTGAGGTCATACCGTTACCTCTGACACCTGGTGTGGTCTTCTGCTGCTGTAGCCCATCTGCTTCAAGGTTGGACAAGGTGTTGTTGCTTCAGAGATGGTCTTCTGCAGACCTTGGTTGGAACCAGTGATTATTTGACTTCCTGTTGCCTTTCTATCAACTTGAACCAGTCTGGCCATTCTCCTCTGACCTCTGGCATCAACAAGGCATTTTGGCTCACTGGATATTTTCTCTTTATGGGACCATCCTCTGTAAACCCTAGAGATGGTTGTGCTGAAAATCCCAGTAAATACTCAGACCAGCCCGTCTGGCACCAACAACCATGCCACGTTCAAAGTCACTTAAATCACCTTTCTTCATCATTCTGATGCTCCGTTTGAACTTCAGCAGGTCGTCTTCACCATGTCTACATGACTAAATGCATTGAGCTGCTGCCATGTGATTGACTGATTAACTATTTGTGTTAACAAGCAGTTGAATCTGTGTACCTAATAAAGTGGCCAGTGAATGTACTTATTTAAAATGCCCATAAACTATTATAAAATCAGAGAGTTAGTTATCTCCTTCTACAGAAAACATTACTTGTACTTTGAAAGTGCTCAGTTCCTGCTAAACGTGCTACAGAGCAGCCTGGCCTCTCTCATGATGATACTTTGATAACATTTCTTGGCGTTCTCAGTCAGCTGGCCGGATTAAACCTCTAAACTCTGGGATATTATGTTGCGTCTTTGACCTCCAGGCCGAGCAGCTCATGTTAATCCCAGTTTATTACATTGAATCCGTCCCTGGCTCACGCTGCATGAAGCCAAACATGGCCCCGCTGAGGCACCGTGTAGGCATGCTAAATAAATAAATAAAGAGCTGTTGTTTTGTTTGTGTGCAGAAGTCACTGCGGTCCTGAATGAAAGCCGTTTGGTGGCGGTGGGAGGGAAGGTCACTCATTGTCTGACCCCCCGCTATACCCCACCACCCATGCAGCCTTCGAGCTCGCACAGGAAACGCAGTCAGTTATGGCACCCTGCTCCGACCTCCAGTCCCACGCTTTCATCATTGTTTCTGTGCTGTCTCCTCCTCCTCCCTCAGGTAGCTGTCAGGACAAAACCTCATGTCTGTTTTGTTGCTCACAGTCATCGACCGCTGAGGCACGTCTGGGTTTTGACTGATTAGTAAATGCTTGGCATGTGTGACTGTGTGGCAGCTGTTGGCTTGTGGCAAAGACAAGTTACTCTCCTTATGAAAAAGTTCACTTTAATTTTCCATTCAGTTAAAATCCAGCTGCAGAGATAGACTCCACATGTTCAACACCAGCACACCCATACTCTAAATTTCACACTTATATGTTGCTCTTTCTATCAGTGGGTGACAGCCCACGCAGAGCCACACAATGCTGCATTGTTTTTGGATACTTTCCTTAAAACAGTGAGTTCCTAGCAGGATGTCTGTACTCAGATGTGAGAGGGCACGATCCTGTGTCTGTGATGTTTTATAAACTAAATAAACTTTCATTTTAACCCCAGGGAATAACTCTCCTTCCTTAACCACAGTTTATCTATTCCTGCAAATCAGAGCCGTTGGTATTTTTAGATTAAAAAAACCCCTTCATACCAAAAAAAAAGACACGTTTAGCTGCAGAAACATTCTGTTTGTTGTGTGCACAACACGCCCTACACACCGCACCCACCACTGGTACAAGACAAACCCACCAATGCAACCGTTATCTGAATCCTGCGACAACACTACACTGAAGTCAGTAAATATGAGACCAAGTGTAGCAATAATCTACTTTATATTTCATAATATATGAAGGCATGATTCACTTTTAAGTATGAGATGTAGCCTTCTCGTTATTCTGACAAATAGAGCTCCCGCTCAGAATGACCTCCCAACACAAACTGCACATTTGCTGACGACACACCCATATTTATAACTACATTTATCCACCTTATTCCTAGCCCCCATGACACCTTGCGTGAATTATGTGTGCAACTTCCACCGTTGAACCGAAACCACCAATTTCCAATGGTGACAGTTTGTTTACAGTGCTCTATTCTTCTGACCAAGAGCAATTGAGAAATAAAACATGGAACACACCACCTGCTATAGCTCAAACAGGATTATGTGATCATTCCTCTGCCATCTCCGACAGCCATCTCAAAGCAACTGAGCACGCTAGCTATTAGCTCGCCTTGCTCCGTTAAATATTGTTAACTTTAACATGGCCCGAGCTAGCTTAAAGTAAACATCTGCTCCTTCTAAAGATGATTTATGATTTCTGATACGAACACATAGTTCAGTATTAACTGTAGCTCCGTGTAAAGTGAATAAATGTGATGTTTTAACTTCTGATTTATTAAAAACTGTTCAGAATTATGGGGTGCCGTTTGTAAAGTGGCCCACACTGAAATTGACAGCAACATTTTGCCACATTTAGCTTCAAACAACATTTAAAAAAGCGGTGTGAATTTTTTGAAGTCATTTTCTTACCACATTTACAGCAATATTTGAAATATGTTAAATATAATGTCAGTTAAATCTAAATATTAAATGTTAAACCTAAATGTTAAATCTAAATGTTAAGCTAACGTTAGCTAGTTTCATATAGCTTACATGCTAACATAAGGAGCATATGCTGCACGAGTTAGAAAACAAGCTGTGGTGGCTCTATGGTGGATACTGTCGCTGTCGCCAACGATGCACTGCTGAAATTCTGAATTACAGCTAAAACGGCCCTTTCAGTGTTTTCAGCTAAATCGCCGGACACACACACATAAACACAGTCTGATCACCCAGGCTTTTATTTCGGCACTTCCGCTGACCGGCAGTTTGCATTTGCATATTAGCTAAATATTTACTTTCACCAAGCATATTTAGATTTAACATTTAACATTTAGATTTAGATTTAACATTTAGATTCGACATTTAACATTTAGATTTAGATTTAACATTTAAATTGACTAAATGGGATATCATGTACTGACGTTGAGTGACGGACCTGTCTTAATACTTTTTCGCTATGTCTTGTGAAACTCCTGTGGTTTTATTTGTCATATCAGCGGTAACCATGGCAACGTGAACAATCCCTCTTTGTTCTGGTCAAATGTTCAACATGTTCAACACACAGTTGCTGGAGACACAAATGTAGCTCAGACTGGTTGTTAGTCGTTACAGACACGGACAATGCAACAGGTACCAGAGCTCCGCAAAGACATTTTAGAAAATGCTGAGTTAACATTAGTTAAATATTTGTTAAAAAATAAATCAGTATTTGCTAAACTGAAGGCAAATTACTTTAGAAAAGAACCAGCGTTGGCGGTTAGCCACCACGAGTAGCCACTGGCACTAACCACAGACAGTCTATAGGGCTAACTAGCTTACTGCTACTTCCTCTATCTCACAGGAAGTTGCGCCCGTAATCATTTCTACAGTAGTGTCCTCAGGATTAAGGTGGATAGAGGTAGTGGTACATTCTGATATTTCCTACCTACTTTTACCTACATTTATAAAACTATTTATCAGAACACCGGCATCCTCCCTTTGGGTGAACTGAGCTAACGTTAGAGCTAACAGTGAGCGGTAAAATGTTCTTTCATATCCGGGTTTTAGGACTCCAGGGCAACTGACTTTCAAATGACTTTTTTGTTTTATATCATGTCATAAGTTTCTCTCACATTGTCAGTTTGATGTGTTTTTCTTTTACAAACTATGCTTTCAAAGTAGCTTCCCCAACACAGCTGATGTTCTCTGATGATTGTCCTGCAGACTTGGAAAACATTATATTGCTTTACATTTATGTAGCTTACAATAAGTTCATTCAGCCGTGGGTGTACGACCCCCCAAAAAGTGCATGAATCATGTAAGTACATCAGCTTATATTCTGATCTGTGTCAAGTGCTGCATTCAGAGACAATAAGAGATAAAGTCAAGTCAACTTTATTTATAAAGCACATTTCATACAACAAGCGTGAACTCAGTGTTCTTAAGATACATCATACATGACAAACATAAAATATCATATAAAATAATAAAGTATAACATATATAATACCAGCAGGACATGATAAAAACAAATAAAATAGGAAAGTATTATTATTATCATTGGTCTTAAAAGGGCATTATAATAACAATAATAATACTGATTCCTAAAACAAAAAAAAATGCACTTAAAACCTTGCTAAAAGCTTGAGAAAAAAATATATGTTCTTAATTTGCTGATATGTTCTTCAACACTGTTGAAGCAAAGAAAGATTTTTATTTAATTTTACTTTACCTTTCTTTATTTTACTTCACTTGACTTGACTTTACTTTTCTTTAAGTTACCTTACCTTACTTTATTTCATTTTATTCTATTTTATATTATTTTACTTTACCCTACTTTGCTTTATTTTATTTTCTATTTTATTCTATTTTATTATTTTATTTTATTTCATTTTATTTTATTTTACTTTAACCTACTTTATTTTATTTTCTATTTTATTCTATTTTATTATTTTATTTCATTTCATTTTATTTTATTTTACTTTACCTTACTTTGCTTTATTTTATTTTCTGTTTTATTATTTTACTTTATTTTATTTTATGTTACCCTACTTTGGTTTATTTGATTTGATTTTTCTAACTTTATTTTATTTTATTTTATTTTATTTTATTTCATGGGCCAAAGTGCAGTCTGAACACCTTTTACACTATTTTATTTTGAACTCAAATTGGTTGACTTGTATATATATATTTTTTACTTTTAGATTTTGTCTTTACTCTTTTTATGCAGCTGTATCTTGCTTGAGGAGTGCTCTATATACAAACTATCATTATTATTATTATTATTATTATTATTATTATTATTACATCAAATACAATATAAACGTGCAGCACAGATTATCCTGAGACAGGTGCAGATCTTTGCTGCCACCACCTGGTGCTTCACATGAACTGCAGGCAGTTTTTCTTTGACACAATAAATGTGCTCACAATGAGCAGATCAGTCTGCAGGCATGACAGCGTCTACATCCCGGCGGCACCATGACACACATGATGATTAACTGGGGTCCTTGTTGTTTTCCGCACGTGTGAGCGCCTCTGCTGGAGCCATCTTCATCTCCCTCTTCTTCATCTTCTTCTTGCTGCTGCTGCGGCGGTGGGTGAGATATACTGTGCAGCGTTAATTAAAGGGAGTCCAGACCCGCCCCTTTCATTCAGCCTGGACGCATCATCCACAAACTGTGTCCGAGATGACGGCCAACAGCAGGTACAAGAGCCGCGCGCCCCGGTCAGGTAAGCCCCCGCAGGTGATTAGGAGCCGCGTCACGGGTAATTAAGCATCGATTATGTGTGAACAAATACACGTGATGTTTTTATTTGTCTCTTCCTCCGGATGTGGTCCTGACGGCGGGATGTGGATGTCATCTGCGCCCTCATGTCTCCTGGAATCTGTCTTCATGGCACAGATGATGCAGAGGTAAGAGACACGCAGGCAGGCGGACAAAAGTGTGTGTGTGTGTGTGTGTGTGTGTGTGTGTGTGATCCCTTTGTTGTGGTCGCTGTATGACAGCTGTCAGTGACCCTGGTGGTCAGTCATGTCACGTCAGGTTCCCTCTCTGACATATTTTACACTGTCGGTTTAATCCAGGTCAGTCAGGCTGTGTAAGGAGAAACTGACCATCTCACTGACCTGTGTCCATTTCCTTTAGTGTGCAACATCTGTCCACATCTGGAACTGAAACCATTAGTCCAATAATCAATCAGAAATCAATTTGAGCACTGATGAATCATTACAGTCAAACATTTAGTGATTCCAGCTGCTTTAATGTGAGTATATGTTGCTTTTATTCACCATGTGTGATAATAAATCTGACATCTTTGCGTTTAGGACTGTTGGTTGGACAGAACAAGACATTTAAAGACATCACTGTGGGCTCTCGGGAACTTGTAATCACAAATTTTTTTGTATTTTGCAGAAAAAATTATTAATAAATAATAAAAAGTAAGCATTAGTTGGAGCTCTATGTGATGCATCAACAGTGTACATATTTTGTAAACATATGTTTATTGATTTTAAACAATGAACAAGTTGCACAAACCAACACCTTCTCACTCTGACCTCGTCACATGTCGATGTTTGGTCATGGTCTTTCCACGTCCACATATGACATCCAAGGTACCCTGGGTGCATTGGTTGTTGACGTTCTGGGACGCCATGTCAAATTTTCACAGGAAATTTAACATTTACATACAGTGTCTTTCAAAATAAAAGCACTACGTCAGTACAATGCTGCGATTTGAGAACAAAAACACAGTTGGGTTCAGGAAAACAGAACGGGGTTTGGCTTGATGATCTCACGGGACACAAACACAACTCTCTCAGGTGAAAGTTGGTGCTTGTTAGACCCACTCACCTGCCTTATCTTTCGTATCTTTCGTTCTTGTCTTGCCACGTTTACCCCTGACGCCGCCAGCACAACCAGACACGTATCATGCCGACGTTGAAGGATGCCTTTTTCTGCCTTCGCTGACTGCCTTCACATGTTTGACCCCTGACCTCCAAAGAAAAGATTTACTATTATGTCCTTAACAAAGGGGAAAGTCCTGTGCTTTGTGACCCATCCACCACCACAACCTGCCTTCCTTCTTTACCCCATCACTGCATTGGTCATGTGATTTCAGCCTTCCAAAATACATGGGTTGTGCACCAATTAGTGGATATGTACGGATTTTGGTGCATTCCTGTACGAACAGTGCATAAAAACAGCCTGATGTTTATGCAGATCATCATTTGCAGCCCAGTCGCCAGAATGAACGTTGCCATTCTACACTTCTGCAAACCAGGGTACCCTACATTTGTACGTTACCATGTAGTGGACATGGTGAAACTGTACATTTCTTTATGTTTCAGCAACACTGTGGTTAACATGTGGTTAGATTGAAGCACAAAAATCACTGTGTTATGGCCAGGAAGAGATCATGTTCTGGATTCAATTTCATAGTTTTGGTCACACAATCCTGACTTGAAAAGCAGCAAAAGTAGTCGCTTTTCGTGACACCATCCCGCTGGAAATACAGTGACAGGTTGCTACAAAACACCTGTGTTCATGGGCTAAAAAGCCGCTGGAACACAGTAATGACTTGTTGAAAAACAACTAGTTTTGTTGTCTTGAACAGTGGTCTGCAGCTTGGCAGGTGTCTCACGTCGGTGTCAGAAATGTAACTGTGGTTTGCAGAAACGTACAACGCCAGCATTGTCATCTGGAGACTGGGCCGTCTGTTAACACACCCAGATTGACTATGAACCCAGTCAGCCCAAAGCAAGCTGAACTTCTACTCAATACTAGATAGAACAGACAGCACCGCGTTCATCAACAGATACCCTAGAACGTCTCACATACCGCATCTCCTCACCACCTTCGCTGTGAGCGTCTTTATTTTGAGATATATATCCCCCCAAAATCCTACGAGCAGCTTCATACCGTTTGCCTTCATCCTGCCTCACAGTTCTGCCTTTTCATGTGGTGTTGGACGGCAGCGCCGAAGCTGAGTCAGAGCAGCGGACACAGACGCAGCGTGGTGTTAACCCAGCAGTCTGGATCTGTGGAGTTTTGATATGAGTGTGTGGGAGTGACAAACGCATCCACAGACAAAATGTCAATATGGAAGCAATACCAAAACACCCCCACATGTATCTCCATATACACAGCTCCCTGAGCAGTCGAGCTAATGTATGATATAATTGTCATTACGTTGCACCTTGTATCTCATACTCTATTTGTATATCATACATTTATATGTCCTGCTGTATAATCACATCTTATATTAATGCACTCTACATTAGATTTGGCTTTAAAAGCTTCCTGTAACCATAAGTGGAAGTGTTTAGATAAATCTAATACATGCTAAGAGGAGCTGTACTTTTATTTCAGCAGTCACAGTAGGTCACATCTTCTTCAAACCTCTATTTCATCTTGTTTTACTGTGTTTGGAGCTCCCCATGCACTCTGATGAATGCCTCTGCATTGTCGCCATCAGTGCACACACTCCCCGCCCCCTCCTCTTGTTTCAGTGGCTGCCTGCCATACTGTATTATGAATACTTGGGAGAACCTCAGGGCATGCTCTCAGTGTCTCCACTGCCGTCTTCAATAAAAGATGCAAGGAATCATGGGACTGTCCTACTAACACAACGACTGTGCCATAGTGCAGCAGCACTGAGCTGTGAGGGGAGAGCTGACCCAGAAGGCCGTCGGTCGGCCATTATACTGCTCCACGTATAACTACAAAATGGGTCAAAATTTCCTTATAGCCCGACATATTTTAGTACATAAAAAACAATAATTTCCATGAAAAGAAAAAGCTTTTTAAATTTGCAGTATCTACAAAACAGATCTAAAAAGACAAGAGAAAATAGCAGAGTAGTACAGTAGACATTTTGGCTGTATTACTGCATTCTGGTTGTGTATTCCTACACTCTCTGCCGTAAGAAGACCGCTAACTAGCTAGAAGATAGGTGAAAGCTAGCTTGTGAGATAGCCGCAGCTAGCCGCAGCTAAAACTAAAGCTAAGTGTAGTTGTTAATGTTCCCCTTGTTCTAAGGCCTGCTGTAAGAAGACTGCTAACTACCTAGAAGATATGTGAAAGCTAGATTGTGAGATAGCTGCGGCTAGCCTTAGCTAAAACTAATGCTAAGTGTAGTTGTTGATTGTCCCCTTGTTATAAGGCCTATACAGAAATTTAAAACATTAATTTTGATTACGTGACATTTTGGTTATTTTATTAGTTCATGCACATTTTCATTTTGGAGAAGAAAACACAGTAACGCTAAACTCATGCTAAAGGTATAGCTTAGAATAAGGGTAGCTAGCACAAGACCTCATTTTTTGACTCCAGTGAATTTCAAGAGATCTTAGTGCGAAAGCTACTTTAAAACATTTACCTAAATGTATTAAATTGTCAATTAATGTGTTTTATTGATGTCAGTATAATACTATTATATAATAGGCTACTAGTAATGTAGTGTAGTGCCAAACAGCCAAACACATTTAATTTGTGTACGCTATGAAGTGCAAATAATAAACAAACTCAGTTAATTGTATTGGATAGGAATGTATCTGTACTATTTTGCTGCGTAGCATTAGTTACTGCATTCTGGCTGTGTATTTATGTACTCGCCATACGCAAAAACACACTAACTAGAAAGCTAAAGTAACATATCTAGTCTTTGGTGTATCAAGTGAAAGCTAGCTCGTGAGATCGCTGCAGCAAAGATGCTCCATAACAAAAGATAACGCAGCAATAATGCACTAATAATAACTTAATACTCCCACCACATTTTAAAGTGATGTGAACGGTTGAGAAAGTTGTGTGAATGGATGAAAGCAGATCCAAAACAATACAAATTTAATGTTTGTTCCTTATTTTGCAGCTTGTTTTTATCTGCAAGCTTAATGGCAGCAAACATTAGCAGGTCTCAGTAGCTAACGTCTTTTTGATTCTTTAAACATCTCTGTCTGTTTTACAGTTTGCCAGAAAACGCTTTTTCTCAACTTTATTGCCTCGATTACTGAAAATGATTCAATATATTTTTTGTGTGTGATTGTTTCTAGGAAAAAGATTATGTTGGTTTCGCGACGCTGCCCAACCAGGTGCACAGGAAGTCAGTGAAAAAGGGATTCGACTTCACCCTCATGGTGGCAGGTAAGAGACGATGTCACCTCCTCTGGGTTTTTACTGAATGTCTGTCCAGTGTATGCATTGTTGTGTTCAAACGGGGCCGTGTTACCATAAGCTCTTGACTTTATCCCACGTCTTAAACACAAGCTCATGTCGTTCTTTTTGAATGCAGCACATGTGATAACTTGGTACTGTTGCTGCTGCTAAGCTTTATGCTGTACTGCACATATTTGAAGGTGATAATGGTGGCACATTAACCATTAACATTAGTACTCGTACTCGTCGTCCTCCGCTTATCCGGGTCCAGGTCGTGGGGGCAGCAGCCTCAGCAAAGAAGCCCAGACAGTCCTCTCCCCAGCCACTTCCGTCAGCTCTTCCGAGGGAACCCAGAAGAGTTCCCAGGCCAGCAGGGAGATGTAGACCCTCCAGCGTGTACTGGGGCGGCCCCGAGGTCTCCTCCCGGTTGGACATGCCCGAAACACCTCCCAAGGGAGGCGTCCGGAAGGCATCCTTACCAGATGCCCGAACCACCTCAACTGGCTCCTCTCGCCAGAGAGGTGACATTCACCATCAATGTCACCATCAACATTAGTATTAATTTTAAATTTTCTGCTTTGAAATTTTGTTTTGTGATGGCAAAAGACGCCAGTGTTAGTGTTATTTAAGTTCTGTACTTAAAGGGGCAAAAAGCGAAACCGTTTCACCGCTAGGTTTGCTGTTGTGCACTGCCTGTAGACCAAAACAAAGTGTGTCATGAGCCACTCCTCCCTCTACCTCTGCTCTCCCCCCCCCACCCCACTTGCCTCGTCTGTGCAGCCGAGGACCGCAGCATCTCCACGGACTATTACATCCAGACGGTCCCGGTGTTTCTTCTGCAGGCTTCACTTCACTCAGCTGCCCGATATACCCGCTGCTTCTTCCCACTTTAACCTGAATAACAAACCAGGGCTTGGTTAGCCCCCGCTAGCTGGGAGGCTAGCGGAGGCTAACTGGCTGTGCTGGCAGCTGAGTGATGTGGAGCATGAGGAAGAAGCACCGGTTAGTCCCGGTTTCACTGCGGGCCGATTCACTCGCCACAGGGGCGAGGGAATAAAACCTAAACAGCCAACTTAGTTTAGCAGTTAGCGATGTCTTTCACTCACTCTCAGTCTCTGCTGTGTTTAGCTATTTCCCTGCTTTCCTGATAGCGTTAGCACTAGTCAGCTGCCACGCTAACGTCCCTACTCTTCTCCGTGAGCCCGTGAAGTTAATTTGCAGATTCAGAATTTTTTTTTTTTAAAGATTATTTTTGGGGACTTTTTGCCTTTTAATGGACAGGACAGATTGAAATGGGGTGAGAGAGAGAGAGCAGGGGTTGACATGCAGCAAAGGGTTGCAAGCCGGATTCGAACCTGCGACCGCTGCAGCGAAGTATTGCCTTTGTACATGGGGTGCTGGCACTATCCACTACGCCCCCCAGATTCAGATTATTAAAACAAAATACAATTAACAAACAAATTCTGATTATTATCATAGATTGAGATAAAACTTTATCAGGAGGGAAATTCAAAAGATACCCAGCAGTATAAAGTAATTAAAATGAGCTCCCCCGCACCAGCTGCACCATTAAATTGCATATTAATGCATGAATAATTATATTCCAAGAATTTATAATATATATTATTCTGAAATGTGCCATTCTGCATAATGAGTACTTTTGGTGCTTTAATTTTATTTTGCTGCTGCCAGTGCTTTTGTACTTTGTATTGTATTTCACATAACCCAGCGAACATTTTTACGTTGAAAATATGTTTAAAAACGACCATAGTCAGCGGTGAAATGACGTTTAGAAAGATTCACAGTGTGTAGAGTATTTTCTGTGTAGTACACACTAATCAGTATCATCTCTCTTTTGACCTACAGCTGAAAAAAATATCAAAATAATAAGATAAATTCAGCTAGAATTCAACATTGAAATCCTGGTAGGTGCTCACTGAGAAAGGAATTTAACTTGGTGTAGTAGTAGTAGTACTGTAAGAGTTTAGTAATTTTTTTACACTGTGGTATCACTACTTTATTAAAGTAAAAACTCTGAGTACTTGTTCCACCACTGAGAGACACCATGTTCCAAACAGTGTGTGTCACTTCATAGAGCCCCGTGTACAACACTTAAGCAAGTGGATCGAATCCAAAAGTGTCTTCTAACAAAAAGACTGAAACTCATGCAGTACGTCCTCGTTGTGAGGCAGCTTTCACCACCACACCTCCGCAACAGTTTTCACAAGTTTCATGCATCCTGTGAAAATATCTCGCTTTGATAATGTTCGTCTTGTGGAACGAGATATGTCATTAAAGCTCTCCTCAGGGAAAAAAAAGAAGATCTGGATTTAATTCTGATTTGAATCCATCTGTTAAAATGTGCAGAAGCATGTTGAGAATCCTGAGAGACAAAAGGTTCAAAGAAGAACCCCTGCAAGCGGCTTTCTTCTGTGCACGAGTTCTGAGCTATTAAATCATTCTGAGTCCATTAAGTTCACATTACGATGACAGCTCCATTGATTTTGGTTTTGTTGCCTCATTCTTTATAACTTCATCGAAATGAACAAAAAAAAATGTCAGTGAGTGAATTAAAGGTTTATCAAGTCACATTTGTGGCACATCACGAACTACTAGGGCTGCCCCCCCCCCCCCCCGACTAAGAATTTTCCTAGTCAACCAATAGTCGTTATTTAGGGCCATTAGTCTCCTGCATGTTTCTGATATGAATGTAATGATTAAATGATATATTTTGGTGGTTTGAGTTGAAGGTGTGAGAAAGAATAGTATCAGTAACATTGTTAACACTGTGTTACATTACAGAGAAATACAAACCGTACTAATGAACCTTCATTAATATAGGCCTATATTTTATCTCCAAGTGCACGTCACACACTGAGCGAGCCGCCTGTTAATGACGCTGTGGGCTAATGGGCATGTAGCTACTTCCATGTTTCAGATGATACGTCATGTTTGTAGTCGACCAATGAAGATGAGTTTACATATCACCTTGGGTTAGTCCTTCACCTTCTCAAAATGATCCCACACTTTGGATTTCCTGCCCGACATGTTATTAACTAGCCTGTGGAATAACCGCAGGTACCAGCCCTGGAAATTAACCTGACTCCTGTCTGACTGCTGAGCGTGGACACTTCCTGTGTCTGTCCTTTCAAATTAAACTCACACATGGTCCAGTCATATAGGTTTGGATTTATTTTGACAAGGCACAGCTCAGTATAGAGTTCCACTTTTTTTTTTCTGCGACTAAGTGACCAATAAAATCTTGCTGAAGGAAGCGTGCATCTACTCATGGACGAGAGGCTTGTGCTCGTGGCAGTGCGAGATGTAAACATTACTGGCGTCCTTCTTGGCTAAGCTGCAACATTAGCTACCTCAGTGGTGCTACATGAGCTAGCAGTAGAGCTTGGATTCTTTGTCCAACCGAGTTTGACTGTTAATTTGTTTGTGTGTTGTAAGTTTGGGGCTGACTCAAGAGGGAACAAGAGAAAGAAGTGGGGGCTGCAACTGTGAAAAGGAAAGTGACAGAACAACAGAACAATATCGAGAATCGTGGGTCAAATACCGAGTGTGTGACAGAGGGATGGAAAATGAGAAAAAAGTGAGACAAAGTGAGAGTAGGGGCTGCAAGGTGACTTGGTTAGCAGTGTTTGCTTCTGCCTCCCCAGCAGTGGGAGAGATGTGCATAACATGCAACTAACAGCAATGATTGTTATCTGTGCGCAGCCCGCTTTGCCAAACTTGACGTGCACAAGATGACAGACTATTGAAATAAGGAAGACAAGAACTACATGTGCCAACCGTCTCACCGTGCAGAAGGAAGCGTGCATCTACTGCAAGCTAGAGCTCTGGGTCTCATTTATAAACATTGTGTACGCACAAAACGAGGCTTGAAACAGGCGTACGCCACTTTCCACGGAAAAGTTGTGATCTATAAATACAGACTGGATGGGAAAAACTTTGACCCGTGCTTACGAACATTTTGGAGACAAGAAACTGGCGATGCAGATGGTATAAAAAGTTGAATACTTGTTGGTGCACACCATATTTGGCTTTTGTTCGTACGTACATTTTTAGTATGGATCCTACGCACTGTTTTATAAATGAGACTCCTGATCGGGCTCAAAAAATCAAGCCTGACTTTACATAATCACCATTCAAAATATAAAACTGTCGTGGGATGTTATTCCGTGAGGCTCTCAGGCATTCTGCATTGCTTTCAAATATTTCTTCTCTGGTAGATTAAGTTTTCTCATTCAGTGTTATCTCTGCTGAGTCAGTACATGTGGAGGCATGATGTACTCTCCAGTCCTCTTTGTGTCTTTTGTTTGGGGAAGTAACCTCTTTCATTGTGGCTGTGTGCTGCTCTTCATCAAAGCAGAGGTGGAAAACTAACTGAAAACACACTGATCAGACATAAATCTGCTCATTGTGTCGCTTACTGTCCGCACAAATGTTAACTTCACCACCTCCGATACAGTTCACTGCTGCTTCCCCAGCTCTTCAGTGGGAAGCACACACTGCGACACATCAGTTGGAGTATGCACATAGCTGACGGAGCCACAGCCTCTCACACCTTAGCAATAAACGTCGAAGCCAATCCAATTAGCGATATCAGGTCAGGGAAGCAGGACTCATGTTAAAGAATGAAATCTGTTAATCATTTGTGTACCATATATATCAACTAGGCAATGACAGACGACAGTGATATTGTTGGGGACAATACAGTAGTCGGGATGGACACGGTCAGCAACAATACTCAGGTAGGCTGTGGTGTTTAAACCATGCTCAGTTGGCACTAAGAAAATCTCCCCCCCACCATTACACCACCAGCAGCAGCCTGAACCGTTGATACAAGGCAGGATGGATCCATGACGCCAAATTCTGACCCTACCATCTGAATGTGGCAGCAGAAATCCAGACTCATCAGACCAGGCAACGTTTTTCCAATCTTCTATTGTCCAGTTTTGGTGAGAAAACCCGTGTGAATTGTAGCCTCAGTTTCCTGTTGTTAGCTGACAGGAGTGGCACCTGGTGTGGTCTTCTGCTGCTGTAGCCCATCTGCTTCAAGGTTGGACAAGGTGTTGTTGCTTCAGAGATGGTCTTCTGCAAACCTTGGTTGGAACCAGTGGTTATTTGACTTCCTGTTCCCTTTCTATCATCTTGGACCAGTCTGGCCATTCTCCTCTGACCTCTGGCATCAACAAGGCATTTTGGCTCACTGGATATTTTCTCTTTTTGGGACCATCCTCTGTAAACCCTAGAGATGGTTGTGCTGAAAATCCCAGTAAATACTCAGACCAGCCCGTCTGGCACCAACAACCATGCCACGTTCAAAGTCACTTAAATCACCTTTCTTCATCCTTCTGATGCTCCGTTTGAACTTAAGCAGCTCGTCTTCACCATGTCTACATAACTAAATGCATTGAGCTGCTGCCACGTGATTGGCTGATTAACTATTTGCGTTAAGGGGTTGAACAGATGTACCTAATAAAGTGGCCGGTGAGTGTACATGTAACTACATTATATGTTTGTGTGTTTCTGTGTGTGTTACAGGTGAGTCTGGTCTGGGTAAATCCACTCTGGTGAACAGCCTGTTCCTCACTGATCTGCACAAAGACAGAAAACTACTGAATGCAGAAGGTGAGTCATCAACCAGTCATCTCTGAACTATTAATCTGAGGTACTTGGACTTTACTTGAGTCATTTCTTTTCATGGCTCCTTATACGTCACTACATCTCAGAGGGAAGTATTGTACTTTTTACTGCACTACATTTATTATGACTGATTTAGGCACGAGTTACTTCACAAATTATTGACAGAGAATTAATGTAAAAAAGGATCTGTTCTTCCTCCACCACTGGATCACTTCATTAACTATCTGTATCTGTGTGATGTTTGTGCCCCAAAGAGCGAATCAATCAGACGGTGGAGATTACAAAGCACACAGTGGACATCGAGGAGAAGGGGGTGAAGCTGAAGCTGACCATCGTGGACACCCCGGGTTTTGGAGACGCAGTCAACAACACTGAGTGGTGGGTGTTTACTTTGCACACTGAGATCTGGTCAATAACAGCAGCTCAGGAAGCTCTGGTGATAAATAACATTAGATGGAGGGAGCTGTCTGTGGCTTTAAGTAAAGTGCAACACTTATCTGACCTGTTTTCAGCTCTGTCTCTGTACTTTCACCCACGTTTAAATCAAAGCTCTGCAGTTCTATTCAACAATGCTGCTCTGTGACACACACAAGGGAGATACATCAGGCTTTGATACACGCACGGTACTTGTTAACAGTGTGCCCCAGAAATTAGTCCTCAAACCTGTTAATGAGTTAGCATTTTAGCGCTCCCAGTTCCCTCGTGTTACCTCTCTCAGTGACAGCGTACCGGCTCCGAACCATAGCGTTAATCTGTGGAGATTATCTTGCTGAACAAAACATGTAAATATCATAAACGGCCTACACAAAAATGTGATCCCTGGAGCGCTCTATAGGATGTGTTGGCTCTGGGTTGGCTTTATTTTCAGCCAATTTTCAGAGTTATTGCTGCTCGTACAAACAGGTACTTTTGGTGGGAGGACGATCTCGTTCAAAACCTTAAAGAATCACTTTACCATAAACAGAAACAAAGAAATCCAGCAAATCTTCACGTTAAAAGCTGGAACCACTTTTGACGTGCAGATTTTTTGTCGAAAAAGCTTCTTAAACTAGGGCTGCAAATAACGATTACTTTATCTGGAAAACAGTTAAGAATGCCTGGTATCTTTTCTCAGAGCCTAAGGAGACATCTTCAAGTGTTTTCACTGTAACCATGACGACAACGGTCCCCTAACCCTAACAAACTATTCATTTTAACCCAAACAACGATGTTTCCCTTAAAGCTACTCTTACCTTTCTTGCATTTCACACAGCACTCCCTCCTCCTCCATTACGTCCTCATTATGTCTATGATAGACGTAGGCGTTGGCATGGTAACGTTAGATACACGGAAGAGGAGAGCGAGTGTAACGCTACAACCAAGACAGTCAAATGCAACCCTGGAGTTTTAAAACTCAACCGGAGTCAGTGATGACTGATGAGTTTTAGAATAAGGTCACAGTGCTAACGTTAGATAGTAGCGTTAACGTTACTAGTAAGTGGAAATGCACAAGGAAGATAACGTTAATGTTTCAGAGGCTACGCTACAGTAGGCTAACGTTAGCCATTAGCAACTGGATGCTGTGTTCTCATATATAACATTATATGTTATATTAGAGGCAAACTAAACATAACGTTACCTGTCCTGCACAATCAAACGCAACCCCGGAGTTTTGAAACTTATCCGGGGTCAGTGATGACTGATGAGTTTTATAATATAACGTAAACGCTAAAGTTAGATAGTAGCGTTAATGTTACTAGTAAGTGGAAACGCACAAGGAAGATAACGTTAATGTTCCACAGGCTACGCTACAGTAGGCTAACGTTAGCCATTAGCAACTGGATGCTGTGTTCTCATATATAACATTATACGTTATATTAGAAGCAAACTAAACATTACGTTACCTGTCCTGCACAGTCAAACGCAACCCCGGAGTTTTGAAACTTATCCGGAGTCAGTGATGACTAATGAGTTTTATAATATAACGTAAACGCTAACGTTAGATAGTACTGGTGACTGGCAACAAACAAGACAGTAGGCTAACCGTTAGCAGCTGGATGCTGTGTTATCATATATAACGTTACGCGAACGGTTACGTCAGTCCAGTTGGAGGCCTCCACGTGGGGAAGACAGACAGGACGGAGTTTTCTTAGAACCATATGAGAATGGTATAATTATGAGTTTTCATCTCTAGAGGAATTCACTTACATTTTAATGTGCCATCAGCTTATGAATAGCATTTTAACCTAAACAAAGAAAAGTGTAAATTTTCCAGAAAGGTAAGTGTAGCTTTAAACCAAACTAAATAGATATTATGGTAAAATACGCCTCTTTTTCACTCTGCGTCTGCCTGGTTGCACATTTGATTTCCCTCCACGGGTCCACAGAGACCTAAAGTTTAATTGCATATGAGCCTGTTTACAACCAGCCAGAATTTCCTGTTTCCTGTCTCTGCAGCTTCAGAACAACCTGCATGAGAAACTCAGGATTTCACTTCTTAAAACTACAGTTCCTGACTCTCCAGTGACGCTTAATACATCGTGTGTTTCCTTTTGGCTCGAGCCACAGTATTGATCTGTCTTCATCAGGACATTAATTACATTTCACGTTATCTCACGGCCCCTGATGCATTGATCTGTAATCACTCTGTGTGGTTTTGTGTATGTTTGTGGAGCAATTTTTTATCACCAAATTCTTCCCCCCGTTGTTTTACATTAACTGAGGATGTTCTGCAGTGTGTTTAGAGAATAAAAAGGATTACAGGGAGTTTCATCAGAAAATGAGCTGGTGTCATGTTCAGGATTTCAGCCTGGGTGCACTTGAACTTTCTGGCTGTTTTGTAAAATTATCCATAAACATAAATAACGGTAAATAATGGTGGTGTAACAGCAGCTTCTGCAGCAAGACACAAACACCTGAAATCAAAGTGGTCGGTCTTCTACACTAAAAATTTTTTACATGCCATCTTAAGAGTGCCCTTATCTGATTAACTGTATGACATTAATTTGTTGGTTTTATGGTGTTTCCAGAAGGAGAGTAAATATCATTTTGAGCCCAGCTTGTGGTCCTGCTGTGTAAACACTGCCCTCCTCAGCAGTGACACCTTCATCACCTGCTGCTCAGCTGATATGATATTGTCCAAACACACAACTCTCCACACTGACCTGCACAGCAGCAATAATTATGTTTGACAAAATCACTATTGAACATTCATCACCAAAGGAAGATTAATCATGTAATAAATGTCAGTACTGAATGAGTTTATGGAGGCAGACGAGAGCTGGAGGGGGAGGATCAGTCTGCTGTTTATCCATCAGGGAGAGACCGACTGACCTACCTCTGTATGACCTCTGTTCATGTACTTGAACTATGGTGGTAGTTTGGTGAGTTTAGCACAGAGGCGTGATAAATAGACAGTGTGTAATGATTTAGATTTCCACGTCAAAAATACACCTGTGTTCAAAGATCTCACATTGAATTGAAAATGGTGCCATTTACTGAAGGATATATGACTTCAAAAATGCAAACCCATCTTCGCCATGATTTTCTTTTCTTTAATTTAATTTAATTTTCTTTAATTTTCTTTTTTCTTTTCTTTATTTTCTTTAAGTATCTTTTCTTTTTTGCTTTTATTTTATTTTCTCTTTTCTTTAATTTTCTTTTATATTTTTATTTAATTTTCTGTTATTTTTTCCTTCTTTAGTTTTATTTTATATTTTTATTTACTTTTCTGTTATTTTTTCTTTACTTTAATTTTCTTTTATTTTTTTTCTTTTATTTTTTCCTTTTCTTTAGTTTACTTTTAGATCTTTTCATTTTTTATTTTCTTTCATTTTCTTTTTTTAATTTTCTTTCATTTTCTTTTATGTTTTCTTTTCTTTCATTTTCTTTTGTAATTTTCTTTTATTTTTTCTTTTCTTCAATTTCTTTTGTAATTTTCTTTAATTTTCCTTATATATTTTCTTCTCTTTCATTTTCTTTTATATTTTTCTTTAATTTCCCTTCATATTTTCTTTTCTTTTTTCTTTTCTTTAGTTTTCTTTTATATTTCTCTTTAATTTTCTTTTATTGTTTCTTTTCTTTAATCTTCTTTTATTTTTTCTTTCCTTTTTGATTTTCTTTCTTATTTTCTTTACTTTATTACTTTACATTCTTTTCTTTTTTAAATAAATAAATTTAAAAAATACAAGATATAATACAAGAGAAGATAATTACTGCACTAAAAAGCACAGTTTCCCCTCTAGTTCAGTACTGGAGTAGATGTATTTAGTATCTTTCTTTGTGCTGATAAAATATTCTCATCTCTCTCTGTAGAAAGCAAATAAGCATTCTTCCCAAAATGTTGAACTATTCCTTTAAAAGTTCTTTATATTAAAAACACATAAACATTTACAGGCATGTTTGTGTTTGTGTTTTGCAGCTGGAGGGCTGTCACTGACTACATCGACCAGCAATTTGAAAACTACTTCAGAGACGAGAGCGGACTGAACAGGAAGAACATCCAGGACAACAGAGTGCACTGCTGCCTCTACTTCATACCTCCGTTTGGACATGGGTAATACACACACACACACACACACACACACACACACACAGTATTAATGATTAATGTACACGCACGTGTTACAGCGCTCAGTAAAGTTCATGTGGTCCTGCAGGCTGCGTCCAGTCGACATAGAGTTCATGAAGGCCCTGCAGGAGAAAGTTAACATGGTTCCTCTCATCGCTAAAGCCGACTGCCTCACTCCCAATGAGATCAAGAAACTCAAAGAGCGGGTGAGAAAGATAATCTTATAATCCTGAAATAATCCAGATCCACCAGATTACTACAGGATATGATGTGAATATACCTAGATATACTCATTTTTCACAGAGCTTCATATGAACGCAGTCAAATCTGAATTTATGCGCTGACCTTTTTTCTGAGCCGCAGCTCTCTCTTGTTGCTGCGGGGTGTTCAGTGTTTGAATTTAGATCTCTGCACTGAATTAACCCACGAGGGTGTCTGCTCATTTGCATAAACATAGTAATCGTCTGGCTGAAGATGGGAATGAATTATTTATGTGCTTTTTAAATAATAATCTGGATTTTCCTGAAGACACATTTCAAATTATGGGGGAAAAGCTCATTTGCTTTATTTCAGATAGATGAGAGGATCAGACTTTAGTCTGTGTTTTGTTTTTTAGGTTGTTGTTTTTTTGTAGACATTGTGTATTAGTTTGTCTCATGTTAATTTAAATGAATAAAGCTGCTTGGCCACTTGAGAAGCCGAGCTGAGTCACACTGAAACCAACATTGATATTCTGATTTAGTAAAATGCAGCACAGACTAGACGCAGACGTAATTGAGTTAACAAGTATGGAGATAAGCTCAGCATTAGATTTAGGCTCAGTTTCATCTTGTTTCAGTGGTGCATGACTCAGACATTTCTCTGCAGAGATTTGATCTGGACTGAGTTGTAAAGCCATCTTTTAGGGCAGTGGCTTCCTGCTGAATTTGAGCACTCAGTGGGAGGGTATATGACTGTGTGTGTTCCTGCTGTTATCCATCACATCTCTCATAAATGTGTGTGTGTGTGTGTTGTCCTTCCAGCTGAGGGAAGAGATAGATAAGTACGGGATAAAGATCTATCAGTTCCCGGACTGCGACTCTGATGAGGACGAGGAGTTCAAGCGGCAGGATAAAGAGCTGAAGGTGAGCTGATGAGTCTGAATCACAGGCTCTCTTATTCTGATTAGTGAGTCGCAGTGGTGCAAAGTATCATTAACTATATTTATCATCTGGAGGAATTTGAACTGTGCGTGACCACTGCAAAGAGGGAAAGGTTTTACATTTGTCTCCACTGACAGTATTTAACTTTAACTAATTCCCTAACAGATTAAGATTTTATATACAACGAGTGTGTTTGGAAATACTCTCTCCAAGTGCTGGAGCGCACTCTGGCACAAACTAGGCTAGCATATCGTTTTGAAGAAAAATAGCGCTCTCATTTTAGCGTAGAGCATCACATTGGATTTACAAACACACCCAGTACATAAGATTGGAGTTGCGAAAGCTGGATGTTTAACTATTTAGGCCGTCCCTTACTTTAAGCATTAGTACTTCAACTTTTTTCATTACTTAGCTAGCTATAATGTTGCTTAAACTGTTTTTTTTAACCACGTTTAGCTAACTATCTTAACTTTTTATGTCTTTTTTTTAATACCTAATTGTTTCCATAGCTAACTATTCTAACAATTATTAATTTTTTTTTAGCACTTTTTGCAAAATATTTTAAAATATTTAAACTACTTTTAATAAACAATTTTAGGTGTTAGCTAGATAACTATTCCAATAATTTTTATTAGTTTTAGCTAACTATTTTACCTGTTTACATTCATTCGTTTTTTAACAGTTTTTTTTTACACTTTAAGTTAATTATGTTAACTTTTTATGTTACTTGGCAAGTTCAACTTTTTAGAAGTACTTTTAGCTAACTATCTTAGGTGTTTATGGGCTAACTATTCCAACAATTATTATTCTTTTACCACTTTGAGCTAACTATTTCAACTGTTTGTTTTTTTAACCACATAACTATTTTAATTGATTACATCAGTCTACTTAGCTAAAAATTGTATTTTTTTTTTACTACCTTTAGCTAACAAGTTTTTACCTTACTTGGCTATTTCAACTTTTTAAAATACTTGTAGCTAACTATTTTAGGTATTTACTCAGGTAACAATTACAAACTAACTAACTAACTATTCCAACTTTTTTTTTTTTTTTTACCACATTTAGCTTACTATTTCAACTGTTTACGTTACTTGGCTATTTTAACTAAACAAAGCTAAGCTAAGCTAAGTATTTTAGGTGTTTACTACTAAGTTGTTCAGCTCATTCTAACACTTTTTGACCGCTTTAAGCTAACTATTTTAACTGTTTACATAACTAACTTTTCTAACAGTTGTTTTTGTTGTTGTTTTTTTGTTACATTTTTTTCCTAACTAATTTAAGTAACTTCTTACTTATTTTATTTGTTAGCTACGACTGTTTCAATTGTTTATTCATTACTTAAAGCAAACTATTTAAACTGTTTACATTACTTGGCTTATTCTTTTATTTACTCTAAGATAACAACTTCTCTCCTCCATTGCTAACAAGTTTTCACACACTCTCAATAAATACACTCTAATATGTAATTTGACTGTTTTTTCCTCCTTAACACAAATATATGTATACAAGTGTATATAACACATTAAATAAATAAATAAATAAGTAAATACATATACATAAATCACAATTTCCATTTTCAGTTGAGAAAGGTAATTTGTTGATTTTGCTACGTATCCCCGTCAACTGCATACAAATCACTGTAATGCATCAGTAATGATAATTAAAATATATATTGTAATATACCACAGCAGGGGCGGTTATGCCTTTATATTTAGTTTTACTTATGATACTTCATGGGCACTTTAATTGTCACTTTTTTTCAACCACTTTAGCTAACTATTTTAATGATTTACATTACGTAACTTTTTTAACCTGTTATTCATTACTTTGACCGAAATATTTCAACTCTTCTGACCACATGCTAACAAGTTTTCTTGCACTCTCAGTTGATATACTCCAATTTGTAATCCTATTTGAGTGTTTATTTTCCTCCTTTAAAAAATGATGTGGCTATAAATATATTAAAAAGAATCAGTTGAGTGTAGTTATTTAGTTGATTTTGCCATGTAACGTTACCACCCTACCTACAGCTGGCTCGGGATCACTGCAATGCATTAATCATCACTCTATATGTCTAAATACAACACAACAGTCACTTTTCTGATAATACCGCTCCACTACAAACATTAGAAATGCAGGACTTTTACATGTATTGTCATACTCTGACACAGTGCCATTGTCACTTGAAGTAAAGGCTGTGTTATGTGATGCAGGAGAGCACTCCGTTTGCAGTGATCGGCAGCAACACTGTGGTAGAAGCCCGAGGTCAGCGAGTGAGAGGGAGGCTGTACCCGTGGGGCATTGTGGAGGGTAAGAAACTCTCTGTAGCTGTCTGTCCCAACTCTCCGCAGCGATTCCTCAGCCTTCAGTTACCATGACAACGGCCATTTCCAGGGACTGACCAGCCCTGATGTAAATCTTTTCCTGTGCGCAGTGGAGAACCCGTCCCACTGCGACTTTGTGAAGCTGAGGACCATGCTGATAAGAACCCATATGCACGACCTGAAGGACATCACCAGCGACTGTCACTACGAGAACTACAGAGCCCAGTGCATCCAGACCATGACCAGGTGTGTGTGTGTTAGTACACTTTATATTGTTTTGTATTTTCTGAAAGAAAAGAACAGGAACACAGTGACTGATTTACACCCACAGACCATAGTTTCCACAGTGTCACTGTGTGAAACCAGAACAGGTGTACAGCTGTCACTGGAGACGTGGGTGAACTGGATTTCTATTAAATAATGGATCCAAAGGTGGGAGTTGCTGTGGCAAATGTCCAAGTGTCATACCTCATCAGCAGTGACAGGTAAAAAGTCCTCCAGCTCAAGTATCTGGCCCATTGACAAAAGTTTTCACTTTCCTGTTTACATAAACACCATATGTCTAATGGCCTTTTAATAATTTATACTGGCTTCTCTCTAGTCCTGCGGTGAAACACAGAAAATACATCAACATATGTATATATATTTTTAACTTTATTGCCATTAACATCAATGAACAGACATGACATAAATGCACATGTGGATAAAGAATCATCAAACAGCATTAGAAGACACACAGCTGCCCATGTGTACACCCTCGACATCGACATATTTACACATGAATCCACAAAAAGTTAACCTCAAATGATTTTAAGGATGTTTTCAGATCAAGGTAATCAATAACTGATGTCCATCTACTTTTGAAAATGGGGAGTTTTAGTTGTAGCTGAGCTGTCATGCGCTCCCATTAAGTCGTGGGAGGGTTAAGCTTTATCCAATTATAGTAATTGTTTTTGTTTGTGATAAACTGGTGATCAGGCTTCACATCCAATAAAAATAAAAACAGGTCCAAGGGAATGTCTAGGTCCAGGATTCTCTCTTTGTTTTTTTGTTGAATTGTTAACCAAAGAAATACTAACACACACTACTCTCCTCAATTACAGGTGGTAAAATCAAATCTTCCCGTGGATGAAATGCTAAAACCAGGGTTCCTGCAGATCCTTAAAAAGTCTTAAAAGGCATTAAGTTCATCAATCTAAAAATAAGGCCTTCGTTGGTATTAAAATGTCTTAAATTAATGTTTCAAACGTCTTAGAAATGCTCCGACATAGGAAGTAGGTTTTTATGAATCTTGTTTTTTTCTGATGTCGTATTGTAACTCTAAAAATAATAAGTAACATTTATTTTTTTAAAATAACTTACTGAGCACCTTCAAATCTGAGGCCATGGTTCTCTGATGGTAAAATGGTGGATTAGCTCCTCTGGGTGTGGAGTGAGTTACTGCCCCAAGTGAGGGAGTTCAATTTCTTGAGGTCTTGTGTACGAGTGAAGGTAGAATGGAGCGTGAGATGGATCAGCCGTTTGGTGCAGCATCTGCAGTGATGTGGGCGCAGTGCCAGGTTGCTGTGGTGAAGAGGGAGCTGAGCCAGAAGGCCAAGCTTTGGATTTACTGCTCCATCTATGTCCCAACCCTCACCTATAGTCATGAGCTCTGGGTAGTGACTGACAGAATGAGATCACAGATACAAGCAGCCGAAATGAGTTTCCTCTGCAGGGTGTCTGGACTCAGCCTTAGAGATAGGGTGGGGAGCTCAGGCATCTGGAGAGAGTAGAGCCGCTGCACCTTCGTGTCGAAAGTTGAGTGGTTCGGGCATCTAGGGTTGCCACCTTGGATTTGTGAAAAAAAGGGACACTCGACCAAATGTTTGAGGCGGAGGGCTCGGCCATTATTACCAGTTCAGACTGACCAATGAACATGAAATTCGGACATAGGAGACCAGATTTGCCATCATTCTATGTCCTTCTATGTGCCTGTATTTTATATTAATTTTTATATCAATGAAAAAAACAAATCTGTGTGCCTAAATTCTTACATTTTGACATGTATCTCACCATAGCAAGTTGGAAGTTGACATATTCTGCCATATATGAAGAGGGGAGACTCTCTGGAATCTGGCAATATAAGAACCATGATGCTGGGACATTCTGTCACTTCACAGCTGTCCAAAACATGTGGTTTGTGCCAGGCGGACATGATTGCCAGTATTTTTTCATTATAGCAAGAAATTCCATTGACTCATTCACAAGTCAAAAATGTGTTTTATCTGAAAGAAACATGAAATATTTACATCTAAGATCATAGAAAAATAGTCAACCAAGTGCAATGATGTCCTCCAAGATAACATTTGCTACTTTGATTGCAGTAAAAAAAAAAAAAAAATTGTGTCCCGGGAGAGATTTTTTTTTCCCGGGACAGCTGATGAAAAAAGAGAACAATTCTGGGAAAAACGGGACGGGTGGCAACTCTACGGGCATCTGATCAGGTTCCTCCTGGGCGCCTCCTGTTAGAGGTGTTCCAGGTAGAGTTGCCACCCGTCCCATTTTTCCCAGAATTGTTCTCTTTTTTCATCAGCTATCCCGGGAAAAAAAAAATCTCTCCTGGGACACAATTTGTCCTGTTTTTTGGGGAAAATGCAGCAGCAGCAGGCCAAGGAGTCCATCCAGAATGACGCATAGTGCATCCAAATTCACACCTATTCTTCGCTATGGTTTTTCTCCGCGACCGTGCGTCATAGCGAGAAACCACGCATATCACGTGAAACAGCGGAATCGTAGCTTTCTGAATGTTTTCACAGCGAAAAATAAATGATAAAGTTACACTAAAATGATGTATAACAGAGCTTTCATACAGCTTTGCACACACATTACTCTTGGATGGATTACTCGCGAATGCAGGCTCGCACAGAAATGCCAAGCATATCACATGAAAGCACAGGAAAAGAGCTTTCCAGTGATGCCACACACATCATTGTGCTGTCATCCCATCACGCTATAAATACAGATCAATTGACTACAAAATAAAAACCTGACGAATTTCTTTACAATCCATTATACAGATCTTGTTATCAGTCACTTCATATAGTGAGGAATATCATATCTTACCAAGTCTTAGGCTTGCGTGTGTTTCTCCCTGTCTATCCACATTTGTAGTCCGGCTTTCAAGATGCAAATATCTCCATATTGTCCAGTTGACACTCCATCAAACTTTGTATGACAAGACCAGCCACTTCACCTTTGCGCACCCAGACAACTGTAGCCTAATTATGCATGCATGACAGGTCACCATATAGGTCACCATATAAGATGTGTAATATGTCAACTTCCAACTTGCTATGCTGAGATACATGTAAAAATGTAAGAATTTAGTCACACGGATTTGTTTTTTTCATTGATATAAAAATTAATATAAAATACAGGCACATAGAAGGACATGGAATGATGGCAAATCTGGTCTCCTATGTCCGAATTTCATGTTCATTGGTCAGTCTGAACTGGTAATAATGGCCGAGCCCTCCGCCTCAAACATTTGGTCGAGTGTCCCTTTTTTTCACAAATCCAAGGTGGCAACCCTAGTTCCAGGTACGTCCCACTGGTAGGAGGCCCCGGGACAGACCCAGAACACACTGGAGGGATTACACATCTCATCTGGTCTGGGAACGGCTCAGGATCGGGGAGCTTGAAAGCGTTGCTGGGGAGAGGGACGTCTGGAATACTTTGCTCAGCCTGCTCCTCCTGCAACCCGGCTTCAGATAAGCAGTTGAAAATGGATCGGTGGTTGGACTTACCGAATTCTTTTCACAGTAACCTCACACAGATCTGGACAGTGGAACCAAAAACACTTACTTTTGTTTCTGCTCAGAGCAGAGGATCCACTGTCTGCTAGCTAGCGGTCACTGTGCCCCAGACAACACCGGGAATTCACAGCATGGCTGAAACTGGTGTAAGATAATGTTTACAAAGCTCAGTGTATTTTATGCAAAAGATTTTTCAGACAGTGGGAATCGTGGCAGTGGAATCTCACATGCAGAGTGAGAAACCTCACCAACAAACACCAGGTATTTCTTACTCCTGTTCTGCCCTCGTCTCCATCAAGAAACAAAAAAGTGACGTTTTTTGATAAAAAAACATTTGGGTGAAATTTTCCCTATTTTTTTTCTTCAATTTTGGCTCTTATAAAATTTGTCTTCCATTTTATTTGAAGTTGCAGTTAAAAAAGACTTAAATCTAACTCACCTTGAGCTGTAGGGACTCTGTAAAACGATCAGTTGTATTATTCAGTTTCATTTTTAAATTAATTACAACAAATAAAGTGAAAAAATTGAGCCTATGGAAAGTCTGTGTTTCCACCACACCTGCAGATGGTGGAGAAAATGTGATGCAGTGCCCTCTAGGGTTGGACGATTGAACAATTCTATTGGCTGGCTGAGTGCATCTTATGTCGTTTTCTCTAGGGCAATTTTAGTCATTTTATTTTGCAAATTTAATCATCTGTCTCCGAAGAATGAATGAGAGCTGCTGCTCAGTGGGCTGTCTCTCTCTCTGCTGCCCACTGAGCAGCAGCTCCACTCAGTGAAATGTAAATGTGAAGTCTAATGTAACGTTATCTGAAAATATACTGAAGCTGAAGCAGAGTTTTTCCAACTGAGCTTTGTGAACAAATCTGTCTCACCACCAAGTGTTGAACAGGACTGGTTAGAAAAATCTGACACACTGGCCCTTTTTGAACCTCCTCCTTAACAAACTGTTTTCACATACCACTGCAATTTCACTGCAAAAAAAGCCTCTGACATCCTGGAGGAACTGGTGATGCATTCTAAAAACCATTATGCATGCAGCTGGAGCCCTTTTCTGCCCCTGCCCCTCCGACAGCCTGAATCTGCCACTGTTCAGGACATCAATGATGCTGCACAGCCTGTGCATAATGCATGCAACAGCATAATCCTTTCTGTCAATTTGTCACAGAGGTTTGTGTTCAGATATCTTGACTGTAGCAGAACAGAGAAAGAAATTCAGAGAATTATTTGTTTTCCTGCAAACATCTGAGCCCCTACAAGCTCATTCTCTGCTTGCAGTGAATCAAATAAAAACCCAACATCTTGCTGTTGGTTGTCATCCTCCTGTTTATCTCATCTCTTCCAGTAAGATGAATGCAGATAAGCGGGTGGAGAGCCCCATCCCCATCCTGCCGCTGTCCACACCGGACGTGGAGACGGAGAAGCTCATCAGAATGAAAGATGACGAGGTGAGTAGACGTGACTCCTTAATAAACCTCAGATCCTGAATAATGCACTGCAGCAGGTATTACATAAGCATGTGTGATGTGAAATGATGACCCATATATGTTCTTATGTAAGCCGTCTCTTCATCCTCCCCTTTTATCTGTCTTGTCGTTACCTCTGCAGCTGAGGAGGATGCAGCAGATGCTTCAGAAGATGCAGCAGCAGATGCACGAGCAGGACCTGTGACCTCTTGTGTTGCATCTTTTATTTAGGAGAACAGAAATCAAACACACAGCACAGATTTGAACGCTCATAAGACCCGTCTCTGCAGGGGGCGAGAGGAAGGAACCTTTAGATAATCACAGTCACCCGATCCTCTGAGAAACAGTAGATGCACAGCATGCTGGGAGATGTATTTTGGCCTGATTTTAATAATAAACTTTTTTAACGCAGTCGTTAGCCAAGTGAGTCTAGTTAGGCAATAGAGAGTAGATTGCACTTTGTTACCTTTAGATCACAGTAGATTTACGAGTACTTGAAATACTAAATGAGACCAATGCACCAAACCCTCTTCATTTAGTAGTTAATGCACTGATTGTGTGGACGCCTGCTGTGTGTGCTGAGCAACGCCTGGATGGAAAGGTCGCTGATGGTTTGGTTTCAGTGGCATGTGCATGATTAGTAACCTGAACCACTGAAAACGGGTGCATGACCTGATTTTGTCAAGTAGGACATGCTCCTGGATCAACATTGCAATCAATCAGTCAATCACAGCCCTCTGACATCATCAGCGTGATGCTGCTGTGCTTCTTTTGAAATTCCTTTGTGCTTCGGAGCTAAGCTAGTTTCCAAATTGAAGTTAATACAACTAAACAAAATACTGAGACACCATACCTACACCGTACCCTACACTGTAGCCTGTAGCCTGACGCTACAAGCTTTTATTTACTTTAATTTCACAGATAAGAAACAATAAATTGTGAAGACAAAAAAGCCTCCACTAAAATAGCATTTTAAGTCTTGTGTGTGATTTATCCTGACTTCATATGAGTAGAGGAAATCTCTCCTCATGGCTAGGCTAATTTATACAATGTAAAATGCCATAGGCTTGTGCTAATAATGTTAGCATGTTACATTTGTTTAGAAAATGTGTTTAGTATAAGACAGTTGTTATGTCAGTGAACCTTGTGAGTTGTAATGGAGCCAAATTATGTAACGTTACCTTTGTTAAATGTTGCTGTTGTCCCTGGCTTCATATGAGTAGAGGAAAAGTCCGCTAGCCACTAGGCTAATTTATACAATGTAAAATGCCATAGGCTTGTGCTAATAACATTAGCATGTTGTATTTGTGGGGAAAATGTGTCCAGATAAAGACAAGTGTTTGTCTGTGAATGCTGCGAGTTATAGTGAAGCTGATTTGTGTACTTGTGTTTTGAATCAATTAAACTTTACAGCACTTCACAGAAACCTCCACCGCCAACTAGTGTTTTGGAGGTGTAACTGCAAAGTGACACAGACACACCACCGCACAATTAGAAATGTTCACAACGGCATCGGCCCTGCATAGAGCTGACACAAAAAATCCCGCTCAACACAGAATGAAAACCAAGCAGTTAGCTTGCTTACCAGTTTGGCTATGCTAACATGTGAGCTTGACCATAGAATAGAAGATTAGTGAGTTAGCTTGCTAACTAGACAGGCTATGCTAACAAGTAAGCATGCCAGTAGGCTTAGATCTTGCTCATTAACATTAAGAGTAAGGATGATGTCATTGTGCAGTTGCAAAGACCTGTGAAGGACACATTTTCCAATAGCCTATTTTTTTGCAGGATTGCAGTGCTCGCATTGATCCAAGACCATCATTGGCACGTTGATGCCAACACAAACAAATAATCCATAATTAGTGTGATGATGATCCCAGCCAACATTTGTATGTAGGTCCCATGTGGGTGGTAAAAAGGCTGAAAAATCTTAGCTGGGGCCCACTTGGGTAAGCCCACCCATGTGGGCATGGGGCTAATATGGAACCCATCGACGGTCCCATTGGGGGCCCATTTTTCAACCCACATGGGACCCACATACAAATGTTGGCTGGGATGATGGTCCTGGATAAACCTAACCAAATCTATCCAGGATCATGATGGAAGAAAGGAGGGAATATGTCTTAATTGCAGGATTTTGCAACTGAATAATGCTAATTTGCTTACTCTCTGTTAGTAGGCTAAACAGTTCACTTGTTAGCATAGCCTACCTACTTGACAAGCTAACTTACTAATATTGGAGCCTATTGGCAAACTTATTTGTTAGCATAGCCTACCTACTTCGCAAGCTAGCTCGCTAATATTCTCATCTATTGGCAGGTTTAAATATTCATTAGCATAGCCAACCTAGTTAGCAAGCTAATTGCTAACCCTGCTGTAGCTTACAAGGTTTTTGTTCAGTGTTACTGAGGATTTTGTTTTACTGTACAAACTTCAATTGGGAAAACTAGCTGAGCTCCGAGGAAGCACAAAGGAAGTCTGAAACAAGCACAGCAGCAGCACACTGATGATGTCAGAGGGCTGTGATTGGTCGATTGCAATGTTGGTCCAAGAACATGAAGTGGGATGTTGAATCAGGAGCATGTCCTACTTGGCAAAATGGGCATATGGCACTGGATCAAGAGTGACGTACCATCAGCCTCTTTTAAATCTCAGCGCTGCTGTACGAGTGTGTGTGTGTGTGTGTGTGTGTGTGTGTGTGTGTGTGTGTGCTCATGTATACATCATCTCTGACTACGAGGAGTTGAAGTGTTTTAACTCAGCATGATTATCAGTAAAGCCATGTCTTGTCCTTATATAAAACCTTTAACCACTGATTCTCTGAAAAAAAGTATTGCAGTGTACAATCATGAGGGAAGAAGGGTTGGAACATACATGTAAAAATAATCCTACATACGGTACACTAATTCAGTTTTTTTTTTTGTATGTGTGTATAATATATAACCATCAGTGTTACTCACTATCCCACAGCTATTAAATATGTTACAGATGTGATTTCAGTGACCATTTAAACATGTACACAAGCCTCCTGGTGCAGATTCTACATCAATATTTAACACTGTCCAGCCCCTCATACATGCAGAGAGACAGTTGAAGTAAGAGCCCAACAAGTTAGGAGCTTTATAACAATAATAATAACAATAGTAATAATAGCTTTTGTTTATATTGTACTTTTAAAAAACAGTGTTACAGAGTGCTTTGCATTGAAATAAGGGAACAGAGGGTTAAAAACTAAATAAAATCTTTTCATCTAAAAGTGTCTGTCTTCTTATGTCAATAAGTAAATATGTGCACTGACTTTTAACTGAGGTTGGGGGTTATTCTTTATTATTTATACAAACCCACTGCAATTAAAGGGATAGTTTGGATCCTTATAGTCAGTGTATTATCTGCAGTAGATGTTTGGAGAAGCAGGCAGGAGTACCGCCACGGAAAATAAAAGATGTCAAAGTGAGTGACAACAACCCCAACCACATGAAAGAGGACTGTTTGCAGTGGAAACACTAGGGTCTAGGTACCATGTCTGAAGGGTTGCTGTTGGTTACAAAGCCACCATACTGAAAGTGTTTGGTGGAAACCAGGCTTTAGAGTGAGGTTGTAACAGAGACCATCTTGGGATCACTCCAGATGGGATACAATGTTCGGCAACTTAACACAAATGTGGGCCAAGGGCGCAAAGTTGGGGAGCAATGGCCCCTTCCCTACATCCTAACCCCTGGTTTCCGGCCCCTTGCTCAGATCACAGCCATCTTTGAACCTGACCTCCATTTTGATCTCAACTACACACCTGTAAAGTTTGTGACTGTAATGGACTTTGCATCATTGACAAAATCTGTCCACAGAAAGACACATAAAGACACAAACACCTGGCAACATACTCGTAACCGCTTTGTGGTAGTTCCCTTCACCAGGACTATGTTTTGCCATGCTGATACACACACACACACACACACACATACACATAGACTCACGAGGAAAACCAATACCAGCTGTAAACATAGTAAATATATCACTAGTGCAGCAGCAAATGTTGAATTTGAATTGGCAGTGGTGGATTTCTACTTTGAATGCACTCATAAATAATTAGACCAAAAAAAGCAGGGTACCTAACAATGTGTTTCCCCCCTCTATCCCAATGTGATTGGTTGGTAGACCTTCATTCAAATAAATCGGTGCACTTGTGTGGAGTCAGATGACAGTAAGCATAGATTGAAGCATCCTAGAAATTGATCATTGAAATGGATGGGGAATCTGTATGGGTTAAAGTAACCCAATGTAAGATTTGCTGAAAAGTGACCACTGTTACTCCAAGTATTAAAGGGAAATTTCGGTTTATTTCAACCTGTCTCCTATCGTCCTAAATTTGTTTCAAGTGACTAGTGACATAAAAATAATAGTTAGCATGTTAGCCGTTAGCCTAGATACAGCCGGGGCGCATAGTAGCGTCAGACCTGTTAAAACATAAGTGAACGGGCAACCTTCAAGTGCAAAGTTAGTCCACTAAACAAGCTTTTTTTCCACAAAGACCACCTCATATCATTAGGATAAATGTCAGAGAACATATAGAAAATGACATGGAAACGTGTTGTCTTACCTTACCGGTGTGCTGCCATGTTTGTTTACCATTTAGCTCTGCTTTCCAAAGCGCGGCCGAAAAATATCGCGAGAACAAGCAGCGATCTCATACCGTGCCTGAACAAGCAGCAACAGCTGGAAGGCAGAACCAGACAGTAGCCTGAAAAGTTCATTCATTTATTTTATGAAAGATTTATAGAATAATGGCTGACTTTTTGCCAGACTTCCACTTTGTGGAGGAGGAATTTGATTTTGCAGAGTTTGATGGCCGCCCTTATTTATTTGAGCCAGAATACACTGACGAAGAGCTTCATGAAATTGAAGAACGGAGGAGGAGAGAGAGAGAGAGAGGCGCAACAGGTAGAGGACGAGAGAGGAGGAATGGCTGCTGCAAGGCTGCGTAGCTCTGGAGATTGGTGGTGTACCTGTGAATGCTGTGCCCCAGTGCCCACAGAAGAGGAATGCCTCTGTTGCAAGGAATGGGACCGGTTGCAGCCTTATTTTCAAGGTCTGGATGTGACCGAGGACGAGACACCTCCACCTGGAGTAGTATCCAGCTGGGCTTTATCTAGAGCTCGCGAGATATATTTCGGAAAGCAGAGCTAAATGGTAAACAAACATGGTTGCACAGCGGTAAGGTAAGACAACACGTTTACATGTCGTTTTCTATATGTTCTCTGACATTTATCCTAACGATATGAGGCGGTCTTTGTGGAAAAAAAGCTTGTTTAGTGGACTAACTTTGCACTTGAAGGTTGCCCGTTCACTTACGTTTTAACAAGTCTGACGCTACTATGCGCCCCGGCTGTATCTAGGCTAACGGCTAACATGCTAACTATTATTTTTATGTCACTAGTCACTTGAAACAAATTTAGGACGATAGGAGACAGGTTGAAATAAACCGAAATTTCCCTTTAATCACAGGAGAAATGTGAATGCAGCAGTACACGTAAAGAAAAGTTACAAAGTCATGACACTTACACAGCAGTACCCAAACTTTTCTAACATGAGCCTACATAAGCTTGTGGTCACCAGTGTCCTGCATGGAGCTGACTTCCTGGAAGACAACATGTAATACTGCACCATTCTCGCCACCCGCATGTTAGCACTTAAAATTAGCTGAAAATAATTGTAAGTGCTGTTTAAAAATGTTTCGTTTAAAAAAATGTGCATGATGCATCACCGAGTTCATATTTAAATAAATGCTGATGTATAAAAGGTACAGTAGAATGTACGATTGCAAAGGTTGAACTGAAGGCATCAGTTCATTGTTTACTCACCTGTATTTCTGTTGTGGAACTAATGTTCACTGTCAGGTCAGGTGTGCTGCTACAGCAGAATTAGCTGTGGGACCGTGTAGTGCATGTCTGAGGCCGAAGTGGACGGTCAGAGAGATGTCTGAAGGACTTTAAGAGCTTTGGGAAACTGCTAAGTACTGCCAAACTGCACTGGTTTTGTGAGAGGACATCTCTCATATTTAAAACTCCAGTCTACTCGAGCATTACCACGGGGAGGGAGACTGCTGTCTGGCGACTCTGTAGCACCCACTAGTGGCGGGAGGCTGCATGACAGTTAAGCAGCCTTGTACGTGAATAAAACACTAACTGGTTTAACCGACTAATATTTCTGCTGCCGACTAGCGAGGGGGCGGATGTTTAATTGCATACTTAATTGTACGTGTTGCAGGCATCAAATTCAAACTGAATTTACAAAAAATAAATAAATAATTAGCAGTTTGAACGTCAAATATTTTGTCTCTGCACTGTATCCAGTTAAATATAGGTCAGACAGGATTTGTAAATCACTGCATTCTGTGTGTTATTTACATTTTTCACATCGTCCCGACTTTTTTGGAACTGGGCTTCTAAGGGGGCGATCACACAGAGATGAAACACTAGAAGTGCAACGCCAGTAAAACAATTGTTTTACTATGATACGGCGCATCTGACCAGCGTTCAAGTGTCTTTTCAAACGGGCGTTTTTCCGTCGTCTTTTTAGACATGCGTTTTTGTAGACACTTCCTTTTTAGACGCTGAAAAGTTAAAATATTTTCAACTTTTTTGAGCATCAGACGCCAGTAGCTAGTGCGCATTGAATAAGCGCTTCATTTCAAGCGTCTTTCAAGCATTAGCGTCTCTAGCGTCTCATTTCTGTGTGATCACCCCCTAAGTGTGATAACTCTGCTAGGACGCCGACATCCTCACTCCCCCCTCCTCTGTTAAATGGTATCTCCCAGGCACACTACGTCATCAAACCATGTGATGTTTGGTATTGCCGGATTCAGGAAGCTCTCGACTTTTCAAAAATAACATTGTTTTTCTTTTATTTATTATGGATTTCGCACCAGAGCAGTCTAAACACACAAAGTCCAAAATCGTGATGAGTGGTGACAAGTCATGTCATGCCGTTTTTCGACGGGAAAAGTTAAAGGATTATTCGCGATCGTATGCGGAGCCGTCAATGGGCACGTAGCTGTTTTATAAAAGGTAAGAGTCTCGCCCCTACCACTATTTTTGGCTGAGATATACCGTCTAGAAAGTGGGATCATAACTTTCACGTTTCATATGGCTTTATTTGGTGATATTTTATGGTGTTTCTGTGTCATAAACAACATCAGCTATCATAATCACACCTGAATTTAATAAGGTACAATGTTTGAAGCTGGCTGAGTGTTGTTTGATCACTGATAGCACTGTTTTGAAGCCGCGTGAGTGCTCTTGTCATTTGGAGCTCCGCCTGGATCTTTTCATGGAAAAAACACTGTAGAATGGTCATACTTTGAGCAAACTTCTTCAAATTTGAAATAAATGTTCATTGATAGTGTGCCTACAGCCCCACAGTGTCATTTACCTGCTCAGATGAAGCCACAGACAGTTATTCATCCTGAAAAACATTTTTTACTTTATTTTAGGCAAAATCTTCAATTTTTTACTGACTTCAGAGGCCCATTACTCTGTCTCTGTATCACCTAGAGTGTTTCTGACACTTTCACAAGAAACTTCAGAGAGTTTTCTTGCATGTAGTCAGAGCGGTTCAGATGCTACAGTCATTTTAATTTGGCTATGTCATTTTAGGTGTTTTTGCTACAAAATGGGGGTGGAGCAGAGGTTAAAGCTGTTGTTATCCATTTTTTTTGCTCTTGCAACATATAAAAATGCACATATTTAGATCAAGGAGGCCCCTTTTTGTTAAGGGGGGCGAGGGGGCTTTTCATGGACCCGGTGTGTCTAAACTCTGTGTACGGCCCTGCTGCTATCTTCACTGCCTGGTGTAAATATTTCCATGGAAAAGGGGCTGGACGACCCCGACTACAGGCGGAGGAGCCAGGAACATGGCTGGTGTTTGTGTCCGTGTGTGAGAGTGTTTCTCTGGGTGTAATGCAGCTGAACAGACCCGACACAGACTGCGGTAAGTTCGTCGGTACATCGGGGGTCCGTCCATCGGTGTGACCGCCTGTGAGCTCGGAGCAGAGGCGGGGATGGAGCGGAGCGAGGAGGACGAGAATGAGAGCAGCTCGTCCCAACAACACAACACGATGTGGAAACAGTTTCAAGCCAAAGCCAAGCCGCTGCTCAGCCCCAAGCTGGGCTCCAGAGAGCCGGAGGAGAAGAAGGAGAGAGGCATGTGGATGTTCAAGAAGATGAAGCGGAAGGAACACGTCGTCCTGGACCGGGTGATCTCCTCCTCTCAGCCCGACCTGCTCTTCTCCTCTCAGGTGGATGGAGACGCCAAGGAGGCTCAGGTCTGCGGCAAACCGCCCGGAGGCGGCTCCGGGCTCGGCCGGGAGAAGCTGCCGTCCTCCTCCAAGAAGCCCACGGTGGCTTACCTGGTGCAGTCCCACCACAAGAGCTCCTCGCTCGGGTCAGCGGGGTTGGAGAGGTTGGAGAGGCTGGCCGAGCCACCGGGCGGCAGCAGCGGCTGCAGCGGAGGAGGAGAGGCGGCAACAGCTGCAGCAGCGGCGGAGACACAGCTGGAGGAACAGCCGGTGAGCTCCTACCTGTCAGATGCTGAAGTTTGACCTCTAATACAACACCTGTCTGCACGAAAACTTTCTTAATTGGTAATTTGATCACAGCTTAATGATGTTAGGACACTTTTTAACTCGGGCTGGGTGCAGTGTGTTTGCAGGAAATACACACAGATACTAACTAGGAATATAAAGATAAATAGATTTATTACAGGCAAATTAAATGCACATTTTATCTAAAGTAAAATGCATCAAAATTACAATGTAGTGACACAGAAGGACAAGGGAAGGGGAAAAATCAATACAGCATAGTATCGAGATATTTCTATATTTTGTGCGACAATATCTAAAATATATGGATATCCATTTTTTTTTTTAAAAAAAATGAAATTATTAACATTACAAATACAAATTAAACTTTTGCTAGCCCACTAGAATAAAAATGATTAAGTGACATGAACAGACTGAAAACTATTTTAGGGACTGTTCGTTGTTCATTAGATGTGGAGGGGGAGGTTCGTCAAATAATTTTTAAGCACTGGGGAGGGACTTATGTTTTCATTTTGCCTTAACAGAGGGGTATACTAATTTAAATGGTTGTATTTTGGATTTATTTTACCGTAGATTTAAAAAAGAAAAGCGAGTAGCTGGAACCAGAAAACATTTTATTGTTTGTACTCAATACATTTAAAAATTATAAATATATATTCTCAAATTTCAGTTTTACATAAAGGAAACGTGTAAACAAACTAAGGTAGATAAACAACAGACTATCACAAAACAAGAAAAACAACAAAATAAATAGATTTTAAAAAGCTGCCAGACATTTTTAGGTATCACATGACTACACTAAGGGACAGTCGTACATTTAGGATTAATTGTTTACCTGTGCACATTGAAGCCCAGAGTCTTCACTGAGTTGAATCTCAATTACAGAGAGAGTTTATTAATAAAGATGAGCTCTGACTCATCCTGTGAAATCTGAAATCCAGATCCATATATAGTATAAATAGAGACGAATCGCTGTGCTAACCACTGTTCTGGGGGGAAACCCTGCAGCGTTGACACTCACATGTGACAGAGGAGGCGGGGCCCTGCACATCTCAGCAGGAAAACAACATGCAGGACGTGTGCAGAGAATGTGCATAAAAAAGATCCATGTGAAGCTGAGACCAGTCTAACTGCTGGGTGTGTTGCTCTGCAAAATAAACTATTAAACTAACAACTTGTTAAAGTAAAGCAGCTAATATAATCCTGCACTGTTAACTGTCTTTAATCCCACAGACCATAAACGTTACGCACACTTGTAGGACGGTAAAAACAAACTTTAAACTCGATAAAAAGTAGGGCATGCCTTTTATTTTGTAATAACAAGGCCTGAAATCAGGATTGTTGCCAGGGTTGAAAGTGAATGCAGGACGGCGATCAAAGCACTATGTCCCAATTCTAACTGAGATGTGAGTTTGTAAATTCACACGGGAAAATAGAGCAACTAGGTTCTTAAAGCTGTATCATGTTTGGTTTTTGAGAATGTTGTTGCCTGTTTGAGTTAGTTTATTTATCCTTTTGGAAACTGTCTTTGTGCTTTGGCTCACAGTGCAGTGTGCAAAGGAAATGGAGGAGCATACAGCTGGAGACTGTTAAGGCTAATTGTGGATGATGAGTCAGCTTCAAGAACAAATGTATGGTTTATAACCTTATTTACATCTAAACACAACAAGATGTGTTTACTTCATAAACAGAACAGAAACTGTGTTATTAGTTAGATTAGAAGTGAGATCAACTTACAGTGTGTTGTGCACATGGCTCATTGTAGTGCTGCTCGACGCCATTGCCAGAAAAATATTGGCAATATATGAATCTGCAAACCAAGGAAATGCTGCATGTTTTTATAAAGCAGATACACTAGTCCTTTCTACACAGAGATCGCGCTGTAGGGCCGCTACAAAGTCCCTTCTTTACGCCGCCTTCGCAACAACCGCAGCATCATGTCACTCCAGTGTGTAATTTTAGACAGCACCCCGGCATGGCAGAATCTAAAGAGGTGTGACAGGCGTGAGGTTTAACACAACATCTTCGGCGTCTAGTGTGACATATCAGGGCTGGGCGACGTAACAGCTATGTGTAAAGCCTGATTTATGGTCCTGCGGCCTACTTACGACGTACCTACATCGTCGCCATGATGCCGTCGTGAACCCTTCGAACTTCTCCATCACTCCATTTTGTCGCGATGCAATTCACCGCCAGAGCGGTAGGGGGCTGCGTTCCTTTCCTGAATGGTTATCGTCATCTCTAGTTGATTCTTTGTTTAGCTTCCGGCTTTTCCGGTCACAGTGAACAATGGCGTCCGAGAGAGAGAGAATCTTGCTGGAGTTGGAGAAAGTATGTTAATACTGCAACATCTACATCGCAACAGAAGATGTTTAAAGATGGCGGGGATGGCGCAATCTGGAAATACGGAACCGGAAATGCGTTGCTACCAAGCAGATCAATCACAGCCCTCTCGGTCTGAGCTGGGTCTGCATCGCCTCAACGTGTAGTTACATTTTTTGGGAGGTGCACGCCAAGCTACGCCGGGGGCTACGGCGAGCCTCCTGCATAGCCACGTACCCTACAACGTAGGTACGTCGTTGATTTAACGCAGGACCATAAATAAGGCATTACAGAGTTTGTATTGTATGTAATTCAACTTGCTATTATTGCTATAATGTAATAGTCATGCACTTGCGTAGTATGTGGTTATACTTGGGTTGTTGGCTCAAGGGCGCCCTCTCTCAGAGGTGGTGGTAAATGCCACTGCAGGCGTTGCCAGGTTATGAGCGACGTGCCCAAGGTGAGTTGTCGAGCAATGTGAGCACATGTGCACTGTGAGTGATGGAAATGTAACTGCACTTCTTGAGTGATAAAGTGTCCATATAGCGGCTTTATGCACTTTACGAAACAGCTAACTCGCCTCTGTGCTAAAATAATGTTCTTTTGTAGCGTGCTATGTGTGAGCTGCCTGTAACGAGCCAACTGTATGACTGACCAGTACATATCCTGTTCCGGACGGCAAGCCTCACAGCTCCACCCCTCTCAACAGTCAGAGAGACACAGAGCTGCTCCTCTGTTTAATCTCTCTGTTCATTAGTTCACAGTGTGACATCGGTCTACATGTTGCATGTGCTACGCTAAATCACTCTGTGAGATGGATGAAGTCACCGCAGTAGCACACGTGCAGTACGGCGCTGTGCTGCTAGTTTGTGTGTGAGGTGGATCATAGAGTGGCGCCGTTCATCTTGGTAGTTGTAGTCTGTTGTGTGATATTGAGACAGCGACAGATGTGTTTTAAAAATGCAGCGACAACAGACGTTTCATATACAAGACGTGACAAAGTGTCTCTCGCTCCATCCCTCCCTCGGCCTCTCTGTTGATGCTCTGTGCATAAATAATATTTCAATCATTTTCCAGCACTAGATTTATTTGAAAGACCAGATGGAGACAACTTTTTAACCACCCGCACAAAGATTTTTAATTGTTTCAAACCTACTTGATAATTTTATACTCATGTTATAGTTTAGTGTCCTGTGCTGCAAACCTTGAAACCTCTGTAGCTCCAGTGCTGTGTGCAAAAAAGTTAACGTACAGCCCTGCTATTTATTTCATATCATTTTCATTTACACGTTGTGCAGCTGTATATTTTCAAACAGGGAATAAAATCCCTGTCTTTGCTTTTTATTTTGATCACAGTTTAAGGGCATCATAAAGAACGTGGTGACAGAGACATGTGCTTGTTTTTCTTGAGAGGCCACATTGTTCGCGTAGGTGTTGTATTATTGTGGAATTTTATATTATATGTTGTATTTTAAATGCCCTTTGATTGGCTGCTACCTGTGCAGGTCTCTCTTGTAAAAGAGATTTCCTATCTCAAAGGCACGCTCTGGTAAAATAAAGGCTAAACTTTAACATTTTAGTGTCCCAGTAAGACATGACAGTGACCCAGGATGCACTGCAGCACCACGACCCCGAGACATCGTTAATCTGATCATTACACCTGTGTGAAACTTCAGAGCAAGCTCCTCTAGCAGAGTCTGCAGCCTGCAGGACTCACAGAGCAAAGAAGAAAAAGGATTTTAGAAGTGTTACAGTGGATTAAAAATAAACCTCGCAGCACCACCTTTCTTGTGAGTACAACTGGCAGATGCCCAAGTATGTTTAGGAGGGGAGGAGGTACAAAGTCGAGTGCTGGAGCGTTTTGGAGAGGCCCAGCTGGCGTAAAGTTTTTGGTCCTTCACAAACTGCAGAGAGATAAAGTAGCTGAGAGGGTGAAGCTCAGATAGACTCTGCAGGAAAGGAAATGGCCTCCATGTCGGGGGAGATTGTGAGATAAAGATTTATTTTTGCCAGTCACCATTACCGTCAGCGTGGGAGCAGCAACACAGAAAGCAGACGCTGGATTTTGTCTTTGGAAACAAATGGAGATGCATTCTGCAGAGCCCTCAGGTGCAGTACAAATACTGTATTTTTGGAGGGTTGTAGTAGTAGACGAGAGATAAAATAACTTTTTTGCCTGGAGCCTTTTTAGTTTCCCTCTGGGACTGTGAGAAGCTGCATGTCTCTACCTGTGTTGACCTGCATGTGTCACATTTCAGGCATTGTGTGGACGGAGGCTGCAGGATTTTTCATTTGAAGTCTGCATTGTGACTCATGCACACAACCTCTCTGCACACCAGTGTTTTTGTGAATGATGCAGAACAGACACGGCTACAGAGAATACAAGTTTACAAGTCATTAATTCACACACTGAGCAGAGGTTATTGAGCAGGGTGAGATTTGTTGTACGGCTTTTATTGATAGGGACGCTGTCTGATTGGCTATAGAGGATGTGTCACTTATTGAGCTCCCACTGTGCCAAGCCGCTGACTAAGGGGTAAAAACAAACAGCTCGTGTGCTTAAAGGCTGAGAGTAATTACAAATAACTGACAGGCCAGGTAATATTGTCAAGAACTATTTGTTTCTCTTTGTGTGTGTGCAGTCA